CAACACAGCTCAAAAACACAATATTCTGTCATGCTCGCTGGCACATTTTTCTGGCGAAGCCAGACAGAGGCTACTGGCAGCACTCGTTGCCCAGTTCGCCTGGCGAAGGCTCGCCCCCCATTCTCCCAGCAAATACCTGCGATTTCAGAAAAATAATACCACTGCTCAGAGTCGGCAAACGCTCCGAACTCAGCCGATTCTGTTCCAAACCAAACCCCATCATACCAGACCATTATTCTACAGCCTAACTACAACATCTATTCTCGATTTAACCCGATTAAATGTCAGCTTCACGCGTTTACTCAATTTCGACATAAATTTCGAACTACCCGGAAACCCCCAAATCAATCAAATAGCACACGCAATGGATTCTACATATCATCAACACTTAGAATCACAACACATATCAACAAATTCATCACAACCTAGTAGGGTTAAGGGAAATCCCCTTCTACCTATTATTCATGCATTACCGAAATTTAACCGATTCTTCCCCCCTTACCTCAAATGCAGCTCTGATCGAAGAAACTTTAAGAATTCCACAGCCAAGTTCCTCTTGCTTCTTCCTCCAACCAGCTCTCTCTTGTGCTAGCTCAAGCGTGTTCTTCTTGATCGTTCTTCCTCTTTTTCCCTTCTACCGTACTTCTCTTCTCATGCGTGCTCTTTATCTCTATTCCTTTTCCAATTTCCACAATTGCCCCTAATACCCCAAAAATCCTCTTTTTAATTCCAATAATTCCAATAATAATATTTCCTCATCTTCTTAATTCCAAAATTAATATTAAAATCTCATAATATCAATATTAATAATAATAATAATAATAATATCAATATTAATATTAATTATTAATTATTATCATTATCGATTATATAATATTAATACTATGCTCCTTATTTCCTCAACAACTTTCCATACAACGCACGCTGATAATAAAATAACACGGGAAAACTTAAATAATTAAAATGGGCGTTACACGATGCGCCAAAATCAACAATCCATTGGTTTGTTTTCTAGTGATTAACATGAACGGCCGTAAAAAAATTACCTTTTTGGGCAAGAATAGCAGTGGAAGAAGTACTAGTGTTTTGTATTGCTTATTGCATCATTTTCTACAACATCTCTATTTGTTATTTGTTGAAAGGGCTTGCCTCTGCAGTACTTTTGGATTTGCTTTCATCAACAGCAACATCATATGCGCGTGTATCCTTGAATCGTGGTTTCAGATCTGTGGGTTTCCCGTGAAGCACCCAGCATGTTTCCTTTGTATGTCCGGGACGCTTGCAGTGATCACGCCATCCTCTACCTTTCTTTGGTGGACCTCTTGCTACAAGGGCTGAACTTTTCCTTGACTTTACAATATAACTTTTCTTCTACTTTCTTCCCTTCTTATTTCTGCAAATGCTTCACGAATGCTAGGGAGAGGTTTAGTTCCAAGAATCCTTCCCCTTACTTCATCTAAATTTTTATTCAGTCCCAATAAAAATTGATAGATTCTATCTTTCTCGATCAATTTTTTGTAGATTTTTTCATCTTCCGAACACTTCCACTCTGTGTCAGCATAGATGTCGAGTTGCTGCCAATACTTTGTGAGAGTGTGATAGTACTCTGTTGCTAGATAGTCTCCTTGTTGAAGGTTATGTAAGAGACTTTTGATCTCAAATATGGCTGAAGTGTTATCCATATTTGAGTAGGTCTTCTTGGCTGCATTCCATATTTCTGCAGCATTGCCATAATACATGAAATTTTCACCACACTTATTTGTCATGGAGTTGAGTAACCATGACATCACAAGACTGTTTTCAAGTTTCCATTTTGCATGGTTTGAATCAGTCTTTGCTGGCTGCTTAGCGTCGCCTGTGATGTAGTCTTCCTTTCCCTTTCCTTGGAGGAAGAGTCTGACAGATCTAGACCAGTGTGTATAATTCTATCAGTTGAGCTTGTAATAAGTATTAAGAATTGTCTCATTATGACTGATGGTGTTTCAAGTCGCTGCCTTTGAATCAACATCTGAGATGCTTGAGCTGTTTGTTTTTTCCTCCATGGGAAAATCCAATTTTTTTTTTCCGGATCAGAACGGTAGCTCTGATACCATGTAGAAATTATGTATTTCTTATTGAGTTTGTACATGATAGAATAAGATATATATAACATAGGGAGCACAAGTAACTAAAGAAACTAATTAAGTCCTAATTAACTCAAATTAATCCCTATATACAAGAATGGAAATATTCTATATGGCTGTATAAATAAGTATAAATGTATTCATATAATACAACTATAAAATCTGCATTGTTGTCCCTTATTAATGGTTGCATATCTGTGCCTTAATGGTTTCAGATCAACAACCAACTGCTGTAACACACTTTTGATTCTGAAGTGCACTAGCAGTAACTTTCAGACCAGACTCTCTCACGAGTGTATAATCAGAGCGATCTAAAGCTACTTCTGTATCAGAACCAATTACATCAAATAAATACAATTTTGCACACACGAACCAACTAGTTAGAAATCCTAATTGTTTTTCAAATACTTTTTTATCATCAAAACTTTAGAGGATACATCGTAAGAACCAAATTTGTCTCAATACACCACATTATCTCAATAATGATTTCAAAACTTGCATGAGCATTGCATTAGAATTACCATTTGTGAATGAACAATTTCATATGCAAGTAAACACCTAGCATCAAGGAAGTCCTAATAATGAATGATCAATGAGAAGATCGATCATTCGAGAAAAGTCCAAAATGGGCAAACCCCTTTCAAGACCCTAATGATCATGTGAAGATCACCTAGAGACTCTATTAATCGGGGATAAATCATTTCAAGACCTAGTTAATTAGGGGTAAACCACTTCAAGACCCTAATGATCATGGGAAAATCACCTAGAGACTCTGTTGGTCAGCGAAAAATCCCTTAAAATATCGGTCAGTCTAGGTTAAACCGTTTAAAGACTTAGTCAATCTAGGGCGAATCACTTCAATGATCGGTAAACCATTTCAAGAATTGGTTAGTTAAAGGCATACCGGTTCAAGGTTAAAATATTGGGGGAAACCATCTCAAGGTTATATTATGGTAAGCTGCTTCCAAACTCCTTTTCAGGCAAATTGCTTCAAAGATCCAATAGACTACGACAAGATGAGCTATAGAGGGGCAAGTCCTCTCCAAACCTTCAAGCTGCTCATGTAAACACTGTCGTGCATTAGCAACCGCTAAGTTTGAAACGAGTGTCAAGAGATCATGCTAGCTTTTGCTTGTCAGGTGATTTTCTTGTTTTGCTTACCTTGTAGCATTGATTTTTTTCATGTCGGTGCTTTGTGACTCAAAACACATTAAATACCACATGTCTTTTGTAGAACCTCAATGCTAACTTGTCTAACTCCACGTCAATGAAATCCCTTCCAATTGCCAAGAACGACGTTCAAATAATCAGTGGGGGTTTTAGTGTCCTTAAGCGTGTCCAAAATTATAAACTCGAATCAGGATACGTGTTTGATTCAAATCAAACACACAAAATCTCAAATTTTCATAATTTTCAAAATACTTTGAGATTTTTCTTTCCATCTAACTTGAATCAATAACATATATGACTTTTATTCCACTAACTCATACAATTGATTAAAAACATCATGATCAATTTCAAACCTAACCATTGGTTTATGCATGCTAAAAATGAATCATTTCAAAACTTGATCCAGAAAGGTGCAATCATGAAGGAGACTCAATAATTAAAAGTAGATCAAATAAAAGCGATAAGACAAACAATAAAATAACCGTACTGGGGTGCTCCCCCTGAATGTAACAGGTACATGCAATTACATTTGATATCTATAAATTTTGGGGTTAAATTTTCAAATGGTTTTTTCTTTTTGGCTAAAGTTTTTGCATCCTTCACATGACTCTTGAATTTTGACTTTTGTGGTGAAGGCGTAGGCTCAAAAGACACGACATAAGTTGTGTAGTGGTTCTAACCCTATCCTATATAAAGGTATTCAATGAAAAATCTATATGTACGTTTTAATCCTAAGTTGTTCTATTATTTAAATTTATTGATTGATTTGAATGTTGGAGTGTTAAATTTAAAGACTCCCCATTCATTCTACCACGTCAGAGAACATTCTCCACCGCACGAGTCAAATTCACAATCTCACATCCATCATTTCTAATTCAATAAAAAAAAATTAAATTCAAATCATTTAATCTCGATCTTACAACCATACATGTGTTTGCCTAATTGAGATAAGCACACTAACCAATTCAATTTCCTTAAGATAGTAGTCGCTAGCTAGGAATCTCAATAGGATTATAAACAGTGAGGTCGATGGAAGATGGGTGCATTCAAAGTCATCTTTATTTGAAAATTAAGTTTACTTGCCTCTTTTAGAGGTTTGTAGGTTTCCTTTTTTCGTGAAGGCTTCCCCTTTTAAAACCAAACAAATAACAATAACACCATTAGAAAAACTATAAAAAAAAAAAAAGCAATAAAAATGTAATTAATGAATATTATATCAAGCTAGTGCATCCATACTCACCCGCAGTAAAGCCCGGAACTGAACTCTCCATCTTGCTGTGATTTTGGGGAACCACCCTTGCGTTACGATGCCGATTCACACGCCAGCTGTTTCACAAAATTCTCTCACAAATCTCTTTTGTTTTTATATATACATTTTTTTTCTCTCTCAGTATTACTTTACTACCATACACACTTTCTCCTCACTATCCTCTTTTTTCAGTTTTCAATTTCACCCTTACCTCATTCTCTTTTTTATTCCTTTCTCAGTATCATGTAAACGAACCTTTACCGGTATTACTATTATTTATTCCTCGTTATTCGTATTTGATTTGATTACTAATTCAGTTATATATAGTAATATTTTGATTTCTCAGATTCAGTTTTTGATTCAATTTTCATTTCAGGCTTTCAGGGTTTCACTTTGAGTTTTACTACTAAACGGTGCTGATTCGGTTAGATCGATCTCGATTTCCGCGATAATCGGCCATGGAGATCCGTGCCGATGCAGAAACTAGTTCATTTTCTTCAAGGTTTCGTACTTGATTAGTTACGTTGCGTTTTTCTTGATTTGATGGAATGTGTAATTTTAAGATTTAAGCTAATTGAATGATGGTTTTCTTTTGAAGCAGTTTGTTTGCGGCAGTTTCGTATGGATTTGCTTCGATGGCGATGGTTTTTATCAATAAAGCTGTTCTTATGCAGTATCAGTATTCAATGACTTTGCTCACTTTGCAGGTATTCTTTCCATTTTTTGCATTTGCGTTGTTACTAGAGTACTGCTAATTTTGTTTATGTATAATGTATGTGTTCAATTTTGGCTTCTATTTCCTGTTATCAGTATTAATTATGAGTATTTTTAGAAAAGAAAAAAAAGTATCTAGTTGTTTAAAAGAATAATAAAATGTATCTAGAAGTTGAGACTTAGGGTGTGTTTGGTTGCCGGGTAGAATTGATTTTGCTTTTTCAGATTTGATTCTACTTGAAGATAGGATTTGTAGTTTTTGAGTCTAACGCGATTTTTATACTGAAATTGATTGTTCAACTCACTTTTGCTAGAATTTATCCAAATATAAATCACTTTATCTTCAACTTACTTTTAGCTATAATTAATTTTACAGAATCAATTCACTCAGAATTAATTTTTTCACTGCAGAACCAAACACGCCCTTATATTTATTCAGGAGTAAACTTTTACCTTTTGAAAATGCTTATATTTAGGGGCAGAGGTAGTAGTGGTAATAAATATACTTCATCAAATCTTAAATTTCATTAAAAAGGTAGTACATGTATATGACATCAAATACATGTAATTTTTGGTTTACATTAAAGGCTAGAGGGAGTATCTAATAATTTGTTTTTGTTTTTTTCGAAAGCAGGTTTAAATTTTATGTCAGATATACTATTGTTTTATAACATTCATTTATTGTTTTTTTTTTTTTTTGTCTTTCATAGCAACTAGTTACTACTTTGCTTATACACTTTGGTCGAAAAATGGGATACACAAGAGCTAGAGGAGTGGATATGGAAACGGCCAAGCAACTGTTCCCGGTTTCATTTTTCTATAATGCCAATGTTGCATTTGCTTTGGCCAGTTTGAAAGGAGTCAATATCCCAATGTATATTGCAATAAAGAGGCTTACACCGCTTGCGGTACTTATTGCTGGATGTTTCATGGGGAAGGGGAGACCTTCAATTCAGGTATTGGGTTTCTATCATTTTCTTAATTTTTAGTTTGTTATTGTCAAGTTTAATCTATTGGTTGAACTGTGGTCATCAAAGACAAAAGAGGTTTACTAGAGTGAGTATGTGTGACTTTTAAAAAGTCAGAAGAAGAATTACATTTGGTAATACAACTTTGATCTTTGTGTGGAAACATGAATCCCAAATAGATTAAAAGATTTGGAGAAGGGAAGGAACCTTATACAACAGCAATGAATAGAATCAAAATATTATGTTCATTTGATTGGATGCCTACTAAGACTATTGGTAGCATTTTGTTATTTCCCTCTCTTAAGCCGACAAAAAAGCTTTTGATGCTACATTTGTTGTTATTTGCTTTTATCTTTATGAATTCCTAGTAGAACAGCCATTGCAAAATTCAATCTAAACTACAAATTGTTTTTTTTTTTTTTGATTTCACTACCAATTTTAGTAAAATTTAAATTAAACAGAAATGATGCTCCTTTCTGTCAAAATTATCAGGTGACTCTCTCAGTGATATTGACTGCTGCTGGAGTTCTAATAGCAGCCCTTGGAGATTTTTCCTTTGACCTTTTTGGGTATAGTATGGCTTTCATTTCTGTTTTCTTCCAGGTGATATGCTGATATTTTGTTGTCCATAAATCTTTAAATAAAGTGTTGGGTACTGTAATTGTGCATGCTTTTCTCATAGTGTTGCCTACACCTATGCAGACCATGTACCTTGTGCTGGTGGAAAAATCCGGTGCTGAGAATGGACTTTCATCAGTAGAAATCATGTTCTACAACAGTTTTTTATCTCTTCCATTTTTGATGTTTCTTATTATAGCCACAGGGGAATTCCCATATTCTTTATCTGTATTATTTGCAAAGGTAAGACTCTTTTCTTGGTATTGAAATTGATTCACAGCTAAGTGGTATTCAGTTCTAAATTAACTCCTTGGCTAAGTGTTTTTCCTAAGTGAGAATAAATCAAAGATTGTATAAATGTTGCTTTGATGCTTGACATCTGATGAGACCACAGATTGCAACATATCTGATAATGTGACAGGGTTGTGTCATTATTTATTTTGGTAATATGTTGATGTGAAAGCTAATATCTAACTTACTTTTTTTTTTAACCTTCGCAGAGTTATTCTTTTTCATTTTTAATGATCCTTATTCTTTCATTGGTGATGGGCATTGTTCTCAACTTCACCATGTTCTTGTGCACTATTGTTAATTCTGCTTTAACTACAACTATTGTGGGCGTTCTCAAAGGAGTTGGTTCCACGGTAAGCTAGGAGTGATTCGGTGTTTGCCATTGAATCTTCTGTCACAGCTCAAAAACTTGAATTTTATTTTTTGAAAAGCTAGGGAATAGTTGTCATTGGCACCTATTATTTGTCAATCTTTTGTTTGTTTTTGTGAGTTATTACATGAAATACACGCACTAAGTCAGTTTCTTATTGTTTTTTCAGACCTTTGGTTTCTTCTTACTGGGCGGTGTTCAAGTCCATGCTCTGAATGTGTCTGGATTGGTTATCAATACAGCTGGTGGAGTGTGGTATTCATATGCTAAATATCAGCAGAAAAAAAGTAAGACAGTAAAGCTAGTTACAGATGTGGAGACTCATCGTAAATAGAAGTGGTGTTGATGACTTACAGTGAAAACTAACAGTTGCATAAATGTTTAAATTGATTATCTAGTTGTGTGATTGTATTTGTAATTCTCTCTTTCTCTAACCGTCTCTCCCATCATTTTATAGTAATTACAGAATCTCAGACACATACACACACATGTCGGAAAGGTATTTTTGCATTAAGAGAATAATTTTCTTACGGTATGAATCTATTGGAAAGATATTAAACATGTTTTGAGTCAATTATAAAGCGGCATGGATTGGTTCAAACACGCAATATGGATTGAGTGGAACTAGACAAATGTGCAGATGTGATGGTGATCATACCACAAAGTCTGGTCCAATATTTAGTGGATTTGGAAACTCAACTTTTGAAAGTAAGAATATGGGGTTGACCCTACAATTCACGGGTAACACGAGAAAGAAGTGAACATGCTTCCCAACTTACGCTTAAACTTCATTGTAATTGCTTTAATCTCGGTAGCTTAGTTAAAGGTAGATGAAATATTTTAGGATGTCTAAGACAAATTTAAATTTGAAACATTATTAAAATCCACAATAAAGTTTTAGTGAAATTATTTGTTTTTTATTTAAATCTTACTTTCTTTTTATGTTGGTCAAATGAGATAAAATAAAGAGAAATAAGGTAATAAATAGTAGTAAATAAAATAAAAATGAGGATACTAAATTTTTTAGGAGCGCCATCTTTTCACCTCCTCTTCGATGCGCTCCCACGACTCGTTGTTGGGATTATTAAGGTTTCGCATTAAGTTGACTAGGAAGTTTACTTGTTGATTTTCTACTAGATCTTCCACATCTTCGGCAATGTAGTTTGCCGCATCTTCCACCGCAGCGTCCTGGGGTTAATTCCCTTTCTTGAGCTATTTCCTTCGCTCGTTGGCCTATGGATTTTTTAATGTTTTCCACCTTGAGCAGGTGACGCTCACTTTCTTTCCATTCCTTGGAGTTACGCAGTTCTTCCTCTTTCCTCCTTTCCTCAGCGTCTACTGCATCCCAAACTTCATCTTGTTTCACTTCGCCGTGTAGACCTTGATCAATAGGGGGTACAACGGGATTACCCGGGTTAGAGCTTGATGCGCCCGAAGACGGCCCAACTTCTTCCATACAAGAGAAAAAATCTTTGAAGAGGGTTCCATTCACCGCTTTCACGGCAAAAACAAAACAAGAGCCAGCCTTCCGGAGCAACTTGTCAATTTTAGAAATGGTATAAATATGGCTCGCGTCGTACCGGAGTATCCCACCTTTGAGAGCAAGGCCCAAAAAACTTCACTCTCACCCAAGATGAGACAAAGTAAATAGGAGACACCGACTAAGAGAAGGAATGAGTATAGAAAGTTTTTATTTCTCATGACACTAGGAATAGAAAAATTAGGAGTAATTCTTTGGATAACGAAGCTGGGAAAGCTGCAGTAATTCTTTGGAAAAGCCCGGTTCTCTTTGTATTCGAGCTTTAATTCCTAAATCCACTGTTTCGTTCCTTCATATACCTCCCCACCAATAGATAGAGACAAATGGGAATAACCGAACCACGTCTACAAAATGCCAGTACCATGCAGCTGCTTCAAAGCCAACGTGATGCTCCTTGGTCAGATGACCAAGATATTGGCGAATACCACATATGATCAAGAAAAGAGTACCTATAATCACATGAAAACCATGAAAGCCAGTTGCTAAGAAAAAGGTAGAACCATAAATACTATCCGAAATAGTGAAGGGTGCTTGATAATATTCCATTCCTTGAAAGCCAGTGAATACTAGAGCCAGTGAAACGGTTGCTACTAAAGCGTAAACTGCTCGTTTTTCCTTCCCCGCGAGTATAGCATGATGAGCCCAAGTTACGGCTGCTCCGGATGAAAGGAGAATAGGGGTATTAAGAAATGGGATTTCCCGAGGATCTAAAACCCCAATCCCTTTTGGGGGCCAAATACCCCCGATCTCTACCGTAGGTGCCAAAGAAGAATGAGAAGAAGCCCGAAAAAAAGCAAAAAGGAACATAACCTCCGATACGATGAACGAAATAGAACCATATCGAGGTCCTAATTGTACGACTTTGGTATGATGTCCTTCCAACGTGGATTCACGTAGAACATCGCGCCACCATACAAACATGGTATATAGGATAAATATTAGGCCCAAACTAAGAAGTGTTGCACCCCCTTGAAATGAGTGCATGTACATCACACCTCCTACGGTGGTTGCCAAAGCTCCGAGTGAACCCGAAATAGGCCATGGACTTGGATCTACCAAATGATAAGAATGCCTCTGAGATTCAATCATAAACCACTTTGCCTCGGTTGTATGTAAACCCCCCCTTCACCCCCACCCCCTAAAGTGGTAAAGAAGGGCTCTTTTGGGTCTTATTATATTTCTATCTGACAGGACAAAGAAATAGGAAGGGATGGTTCTTTCATTGCATTGATAGAAGTCTAACTAGAAAAAGATCTCTAACTTTGAGAAGAGAATCGTTGGTTTGACCGACGAACTACGTGGGAAAATGGACCTTCTTTCCTTTCTTTTCAGCAAGCATTTTTTGATAGTACGAAGGGGGAATTGACCCAAAAATTGAAATAGGTAGTCCCCATCCTGCTCAGAACCCGCCCCCGGACCATAATTGTGCAACAATCGTACAGGCACTCGCAAAATGAGGGCTCGCTGCCCCCTGAACGAGAAGGCTGTCGACGGTTTCAAAAAGATCGGGGAGTGATGTCGAATTCGCCGTTAATAAATTGACCACCTGCTCCATATTGGTAGCAGGAGGGAGTGGAAACTGCGCACTTCGAAACAAAGAACTTAGTTGTTCTTCGATTTCACGATTCAATATGTGGATGGTGTGGTGTTTGATCTGGGGAGATGCATTCGGTGAATGCTGAAGGTACGTAAGAATTTCCCCCAATACTCTGCGGAATCGTTCCATTCGAGTTTTGAAACCAATTTATTATTCCTTACTCTTCTGAGTAAAGAATTTGAACTAATTTTAGTCGGAACACCCGCCGAGAGTGAATAACTAAAGAGAGATGTGGTTGTTGACCAACAAATTATGCATGGGAGAAAGATTCACAAACGAAAGAAATAGGAAACAATATTTCATTTCATTTAAAACGCATTTCCTCGATCCAATCTCGCACTTGGTCTGATCCTCTTTATTTATTGATGGTCTTAAACCTGAGGTCCGACGTGATGTCATCTCCCAGTCTCCTACTTCCTTGGTACGAGCTGCATCACTGGCTCGTTCATTTGACGAGCGCTACCTGTTACAGAGTTCGGTTGCACGAGAAAAACCAATGGTGCCTTCCTCATCGATGCGGACCTCTCTGTCCAATTAATCTTCTCCTTCACTTACGTCAACTAAATCTGCATTGCCGCCTTTCCTTCCGTCTCCTCCAACTAAGCCTCTGCCACCAGTGAAGAAATTGTCGGCAACAGAAATGCAACTGCGACGGGAAAAGGGGTTGTGCTTTACTTACGACGATAAATTCTCGTGGAAGCACAAATGTCCGAATCGCCAATACATGATTCTGCAGGTGGATGAACCGGATGGCGATGTTTCCTCCTCTGTTGTCGCCGAACCTGTTCCACCGGATCTTCCGTCGGATGATTCTCCAACTTTGCATCATTTGTCATTACAAGCTTATCATGGCACTTCTGGCAAATGTACTATCTACTTTTCTGGGTCGATTGCAGGCACCACCGTGCGCATTCTTCTCGATGGTGGCAGTTCTGACAACTTAATTCAGATGGAGAAGATTCCAAAAAGGAAATCTCAATCTAATCGCTGGGTGAATAACGAGTGGGACCGGTTGGATCAAACTGCGACCCATATTGGTAAATGTTCAGCTGATGCTTCATAAAAAAATTAGATATCCATCACTCTAGCACACCGCTTGCCTATTCCGACTAAGCAGCCCGGTGTGCATAAGCAAAACCAGAATGCCTCAAATAAAAGCATTCTAGTCGGAAGAGAGGAGGTAAGGGTTGTCCTTACATGAAATGGGAATGGGGAAACTTTTTCATTCAGCACGGTGTATAGCCTATATAAGATAAGGAGCGAAGCACTGCTCACGTTAAAGCTACTGTGTTGACTGTAACTACACTACGAGAATTTTAATTGAGCTCCCAAAACAAAAGCAATTCTAGCACAAGAGCCATAAAACCTTTTCTTAAAAAGGAGAAGTAAAGAGCTGGGTTTTCAGCTCATAGCGGTTGGCCCTGGCTCAAAAGGAAGAGTTAGCTTATCCGGACTGGGAGGAATTTATCCCCAAAAGGGGCACAGCACATCTACAGGCCTTCCCTCTGCGTGTGATTTTTCGAAGATTTGAGGCGCCCTATCTGGCATAGCGTCTCTCGCCCCCTGCGGGGGCTCAGAGAAGCGGTTCCTTCCTCTCATGCTTAGGAATTTACAAGGAAATCGATCAAATGACCAAGTTGCAAGACCGGGAATGAGCTTTACAACCAGGTTCCCAGTTCTAGCACTAAAAGGATCAGGAAAAGCAGAAGTATGGGCTTCCAGTCACACTTGATAAAAACGATAAGAAGTTGGAGATCAACCAGCTACTATCTTATACTTATCTAGGATCTTTTCAGATCTTTCTTGAAAAGCCGGTCCGATTGAAGTTGAAGTAAATTCACGGTATCCGGGATGGTAAGGGGAAGAAAGAGTTGGCGATCTTCACTCGTCCATCACTCCCACTTGAAGTGAAGAGGTAGTAGGAGCATGAGATGAGGGCTCACATTCGATGACAAATACAGATACGAGATGGGATGTCTACTAAGGAAGCAAGAACCCCAGGAATTGAGTTCTTATGGGGGAGAGTGAAGACTATGACTGGTAGGGCCCCCTCTTGTAGTTGTACTTGTACTGCGGGGTTGGTTTTTTGCTTAGCTGCCTGTCCCACATCCCTTTCTTGGGCACAGTCAAAGACCTTGCAACTAAGGGCTTCAAGCCTATGCTAAGAGAGTAAGGTTCCTGTCTCGATCCTTTTTCT